TCCCCTTCCGCTCTCCTGACCTCCAGTGGAACACTTCGCTGATACTGGCTAGACATCTGAGGGCCAAACATACATCAACATTAAAATATAACAAACAAAAACGTCTCAGGCTTACTCCTCCTCATTTGTTCTCATCATTCAAACATGGACAGACACAAACTCTGCCTGTCAGATATGCATCTGATCATTAATAAAACATATTTATTCTCTAAATCAGTCAATCATGTATTTTAGAGGTAACAAACTATTTTTCCCTCAAACTCTCTAGGCCTTCTGCCATCCCGCCATGGACTCTTCTTCTCCTTTGCCCTCAGTCCAGATGTTGTTGACATATCTTCTGCCATATGTTAATAATCATTTTTAGAGGCCTGTCACAATACAAAGCTAAAATAAGCATAATTATAAAACATTTTTAATAATAACTAGCTATAAAGATAGAAAAGACACAAAATGAAACCATCACAATGTCTGCACAACTTTAGAGATTTTTAATGCCATTTTATCAAAGGTCGTGGAAAATGCTTCAATATCTTTTATTACTGTGGAACTAGACTGACTGCAATGCCTGTTTGTTTTGTTTATGTTCACCCAACCATTCACTAAAGCCTCTCGTGCCCTGCAGAAGAACATTACATAATACAGACATGTACACGCATCCCATTAGAACACAAATATTAAATGTGTCATATGGCATTTTTTTTTGCATTTATTCCCACTTACTTTGACATCGGAATAGCTGAGTGTGCAAAAACCATGACAGAAAATTCATCCAGTATTGCAGCATATCACGTGGGCCAAAAATGACTCTAACCTTTAGGTGTCTTTTTTCTGTGCTCTAAATAGCAGGTTTTACTGAGAGGAAGACCGCTGTAGTTGGTTTCGTGCGCTATATTCCTCGCAAACATGTATTAGTGTAGGTGTATTTCATTTTTTGGACATGCACCATGGTACTTCCATTAAGTAACGTTACTGGTGTAAATACGATGGTATGTGAATATCCCAAGCATTCAGTAGCGTGGTATTGCATAATATCATCACTGTACAGTATTTTTGTAACTGTTGTCGGTATCTGAAACAGTTGAGAAGCCAACGGGCTTGTGATTCATGATAGTGTTGCGAAGACACGTTGCAACAGGGCAATGCGAAAACGTCCTAGGACCCACAGCACTGCCTGATGCACAATTTCCACAAACTCAGCTTTTAATAATAAACAATAATCTGCTGTCGTCATACAGTACATGATATTGTAAGATAACTGCGCCCATAACAACTGCTGATGACGTTAGGCCGCGAGCTCACATGATATGACCTGCTATTAGTGCGGGTGACCGCGGGCTTGGTGTTTGAACCTTTGATTCACCACAAATTCACGTTCGTTTCCAGGATGAAACTAGCCTTACCCACAGTCGCTAACTGGGTTTACTGGTCGTTGTGGTAAACACGAAACATACCTTGGATAGCTACTGATGGATTCAGGAAGAAGTGAAATACAACGCCCGTCTTCCCCACTTGGACGAATATCAGACGGCCGAATCAGCGCAGTAATAATGTTGATCTCCAAACCTCAATCACGTTGTATATTATAAATCGCCTTCTATGTTGTGGATGTCGACTGGCCCACTTCTCCCACTAAAACAACAACAAATAATGTACCGCCTTATTCTGGGAACTGACCAATGGAAATTCTGAAAATAGACTGACATATCGTCTAGCCATTTAGGAGAGAGAGGAGGCGGCATTTAAATGTGTTTACAGGGCTTCTATTGGCTAGAGTGTGCTGTCACTCATTAGTCTACTGGGTCAGTGAAACCAATCAAACTAAAGGAAAATTAGGCCAATGAAAGGAGCGCTACAGTGTATCTGTATGGAATGATATTAGACTCAAAATGATTAATAGATGCAGGCACAATTATCCATGTACTGCATACATTTTATACATGTATCTTACTAACCACAAACAAATGCCTTTCAATTTGAGTCTGTGGAATTCGGGATTAAATGATTGTGCCGTTGAATTACAGAAAGAAAGAAAAAACCAAGGGACCGTCACAAAGTTCTTGCTTGGCAAAATTAATATAAGCTATTCTGTGTCTTAAGACAAGTTAAATTAGAACAAGTTCAATAAAACATCTTTATTATATTTCTACGGTAGAGGAGAATAGCCAAACCAAAAAGAAAAGAAAACACAATGTAACATCAAACAAACCAAAAAGAAAAAAAAACACAATGTAACATTCATGAAACCGTACTCAATGGAATGCGCACATGTGACTGGGGCTAGTGCCATCTAGTGGTCGCTGATTTTCTGTGGCTGAGCTGCGCTGGATCGCGAGCTGTGTGTGTGTGGATTGGGCAAGGCTAAAATGGCGGAACGAAAGTCTCAAAATTCAAATGAATCAAATAGAATCAACTCAGAAGAGACGTGAATGAATGCACGCATCGCCTGATCCACAAATGCACATTTTAATCGCTACACCTGACGTGAAATGCTGTAAACTGCGAAAATGAAGTCTCAAAATCCAAATGAACCGATCGACTCGAACTAGACATCAATTACACGCGTGTCACCTGATCCACATATACACGGATTCCTTTTTGCATGAGCAATTTATGATATATTAATGCAGAACATTTTTATTCGCAAACATGTCTGTATTTGTAAAAATCGCTGCACAATCATTTAATCCTGAATTTCACAGACTCAAATTGAAAGGCATTTGTTTGTGGTTAGTAAGATACATGTATAAAATGTATGCAGTACATGGATAATTGTGCGTGCTGAATTGTGCGCCCAAATGATTTGGTCAGTTTGGCGGTTTTCTATGAAGGTATTTTTGGTGCAAAACAACTGAGCGTCCGTGACAGCGGAATCGGTTTTCAAACATATAAATTGCATAGGCTAATTGTTTAACAAACAAGCCCAAGTATACATATGTACTGCATCCAATCAGTCATCACAACGTTAGGCTACTGCACACACACACACACACTGCAGAGGCGCTGGTGCTGATGTAAACGTAGACAGCCGCACTTATCACGAGGGCTCAGCAGACAGACGTTATGATTCATGAGTGACAAGTTTTTAGCGTGGTAAGTTATAACGTATCTGATTTTGAATGTATTGACTGATTCAAGTAATCACAATGCCTAAATATAAGTTAAAGAGTGGGAGAGTGACTCAACTCTCAAAACGTGAATTATTGTGGAGTAAGATGGCACGAAGGCTCTGCAACTCCGAAATCAGAGCACATTTGAATTAATTAATCAAAACCGAAACTAAATGTGTCGGTTTATACGATACTGTCTTTTATCTTTTAAACGGTCCAGATTGATAAATCGTTGAAAACTGCTAGACTTGATTCGTTTTGACTGCAAAGTTCTGTAGTAGGCTATGTTCTACAATATGAATTTAACAGGCTTCCTCTAGTTCTGTGTAAAATTATAGAGCGACACGAAGGCACATGTTGCTGTTTTTTTTTAATTGTCGCATTATAATTCAGTATGTATCAATGAATGACACAGTTTTGACTGTCATGGTGTGTGCATGAACGAGTGTGAAATACCTGCTAATTCCGTTGCTTTTTCCTATCACTTATATTGGGCACTTTTTGCATTTAAATTGGATTATTCTGACTGCTGACATTGAAAATAATGCATTTCTTTTTTGCCGTTTTGACAGTGTCTGTTTGCATATTTTATTCATGTTCGGTAGCCTAATTCTCTTTAAGGTAGGCTATTTGCCCCGATTCGATCCGTTTACCTGGGAAATTTATCTAACGTTATATTTATATTATTTTTTCATCATTATTTTGTTTTAAGGAGTTAAACAAAGTTGACATCAGAACTACACAGTCACCGCCTTCAGTCACCACCCCGAGCACCATCCACCGTCCCACTCTCCTTTTGCCAAAACCCCAGACAACATTGCGTCCATGCTATTGCTGAGCAACGACCCAAAGCTGCACTGCAGGTAGAAATGGGTGAAATGCCATTAGAAGAAAGACGTATGCAATTAAAAATGGTTTACTGGGTGTCTTTAAAAGGCCACAATAGTAAACATCCAACTAAAGCGATTTTTGAAGAATGCTGGGAACATGAGAGAACAAATATAAAAAGCATTGGTTGGATAGCAGAAGAAATGGCACAAACAATGGATTTAGTAAATAGGAAATATAGTGATGCAGTGCCTATATCTGCACTCTCACCGTGGTTATATAAAATGCCGGCAATAGACCTGTATCTACTAGAAATGGAAAAATCAAATAGTGGTGCAATTAATGAAGTAAATCATTATATTGAACGGTTATACTATGACAATGTACAAATTTATACAGATGGATCAAAAGATCCAGAATCTAATAAGACAGGAATAGCAATAGTCATACCACAACAAGAAGTAATTATTGCAAAAAGAACACCAGACTACTTATCTGTATTTACTAAATTACTACAGAGTTGATTGCTATTGTTTTAGCTTTACATTGGTTGGAAGACACACAGACTAAGAAAGCAGTTTTATGCTCAGATTCACTGGTGGCTCTAAGAAGTATTCAGTCGGGACAATCAAATTGCAGAAAAGATATTATTATAGAAATCATGCAACAGCTATATAGACTTCATGCTCAGGACAGGTTTGTTTCAGAAATTGAAACAGTTGAGCATATTTTATTACAGTGTAGAGCATATTGGGCTAGTAAAGAGAGAGATGCTGGAAACAAAGATACAATCAGAAGGTGCAAATAATATGACATTAGAACTAATATTAGGTGATAGAAAATTCAGAAGAATGATAATACGTTATCTAATAGACACGGGAATCTTCATGAGAATATAAGGAATAATTGTATTTGTTTTTTGTTTTTTATAAGCCTTCTCATTGTCATTCCACACTCCAGTTCAGTTGGTGGCGGTAATGCACCAAACGTTGGCTTGCCCACCGCCAATAAACGCTACAAGAAGAAGAACGTCCGCTGTCACCATAATCATCATCATCATCATCATCAGCCATTTTGTTTGAGGTGTTGACATTCAACCGCTGAGTTCAGCGAACTAATGTAGTTGATATGGGTTCCGGTATATTCCTAATATAAACTGGACTCTGGTTTACTTAAGATATTCGATATAAACCACAATTAAGCAGCCTTTGTACGCGATTTCCTACAAAACATTCTATATTAAATGTTAGAGCTATTTGACTCATATTTGCGTAGAATTTTCGGACGAGCTAACACGTTAGCTCTGGCAAAATGGCGGCGAATGCGGCACAGCAAGCTCCGACACCAAACTGGTAAGATTTCTACAGTTTATAAATCCTTCTCATCTTGAACGACTGATTTCTATAAATGGAAGCCTTTACCAAACATGTGTGATGTAAAAGTTTACGTTAAATGTCTATTGGGTTTTAGCGTTCGCTAGCCTAGCCGCTTTAACGTTGCTTTGCATATAAGCAGAAAATTCTGTAGTATTTCAATCATTTTTATAACAACTTTGATAAATCGTTTTTTTTTTTTTTAACAATTTAGATTGAAGACGTCGCTGTTAACATTAACATTGTAGATCAAATGACATTTGAAAGTTGTTCCACTTTGGAATTTGCCTTGCGTCTGTGAAGGCCATTTCTGCGTTTGGCCTGTTTATTAAAGGCCTGATTACTGGATAGATTGTAATTTTACCGTTATGGCAGTTAATCAACATTATTTTAGGCCATTAATTATCTAAGCAAGTCACGGTATGTGTAATAACTAACGTATGTGCATATCTTAATATAAAACTAACTTGCGGATTTTAAAATGTACAGATATTATAACGTTATATACTGGTTTCAGTTGTAGTCAGTTTTATTTTAATGTGAGCTGTGTTTTGTATGGATCAGGAGCGTGTGTAGGTGCCTGAAAATGTACAGAAAGGTTCTAGATAATATGGTGTAACCTAAAGTCACATTCACCCTGTCATCCACAGGCCGTATGGTAGTAATTCAAGCGGTGAAAGCAAAGTCCATGAGAACCCAGAATGGGAAAAGGCCCGACAGGCTCTAGCCTCCATTAGTAAAAGTCAGAACTCTACCAAGACTTCACCAACCAATCACACCACCCAACAGGTTAGTGTTTTTTATGAATATAGGTGGTTTCTAGTTGCATTGCTTGTCTATGCCCATTTTGTGTGGGTAAATGGTTGATTCTGTTTTGTTTTCTGTTAGACCGGACCTTATCAGGCAACAGACTCATCTGCAATGCAACAACAGCAGCAGCAATACTATCAGCAGTGGTATCAACAGAACCAACAACAGTATGCTGGTTACCCATATCCATATAACTACTACTACCCCATGCCTCCGGTAAATAGCTAAATGCGCTCCTTCATATTCTTATAGCATATACCTACAGTCAAACCAAAATTTATTTAGACACCTTCAACATTTCTCACATTATCTCATAGTTTATTTGCTATAGTTTAGAAAATTGTAATAAAATATGACAAGAACTCCGTTATACTGTGTCAGAACAAATTCATCTTGATAATGTCAGATAACTTTGATCGAAAGGTATGTTATGGATTACAATCAGCTAAAATTTATTCAGCTGTTCAATTTAGTACACAATTAGATAATACCAATTTAGGTCAACCAATTACCAAGCAATACTTAATTTTGTTCAGAAAATGTTCGCATTATCAATTAAAGAAAAAACACTTAAGCAAAACATAGTCAGGTCAAAGTGTCTGAATATTTTTTTGATCCCAAATTTTACTGGTGGTCCACTGTATGAAGAATTTTTGGGTATAACATATCACAGTTCACTTTATTTTGCTATCCTCACTTATATTTATGAACTACAGTGTCCTGCACCCACTAGTGAAAAAAAATTATATCTGAATCATTTTTGGTTTGACTGTATATATGTTTGTCCCAAGAACTCAATCACAAGTAGAAGTATATTTCTTAAAACATACAGTCTTGTTACTTTGATACTAAAATAAAATTAAAGTATAATAGCCTTTTTGCAGTATCATAGTACAGGGAACGGTCTGGCACGCAGCTACATTTGAGCATGAGTATTTACGCTTATGCGTTTGGCAGATGTTTAGTCCAAAGCAATGTTCAGATGTGTCAAAATACACCTTGCTGTGTAAATGTTTCTTAGTAAATCTGCTGTTATTAATATTCGCCAAATAATATTGACAAAAAAATTAATCAATTGCTTTTGGCTGGATAACATTAAAGCCGTTAAAGGGTTAGTTCACCCAAAAATGAAAATTGTATCATTAATTACTCATCCTCATGTTGTTCCAAACAGTAAGACCTCCGTTCATCTTCGGAACACAAATTAAAAATAAATTTGATGAATTCTGAGAGCTCTCTGACCCTCCCATAGACAGCAAGGATACTACCATGGTCAAGGTCCAAAAACGTAGCAAGGAGATCGGTAAAATAATCCATGTGACATCAGTGGTTCAAACGTAATTTTACCAAGCTACGAGAATACTTTTTGTGCACAAAGAATACAATAATAATGACTTTATTCAACAATTCGTCTTCTCCGCATCACCCTGGCACCATTTTGGACAGTATCCACTGAACGTAAACAACGTATGCTGTTCTGTGTCAGCTGCGCCATGCAGATAAGTTATTTTCGTTCAAATCAAAGCGTAAACAGCGTATCCGCGTGGTGCAGTGATGTTCTTAAGAATATATTTGAGAACTTAAAAGGATAGTTCACCCAAAAATTTAAATTTGATGTTTATCTGCTTACCCCCAGGGCATCCAAGATGTAGGTGACTTTTTTTCTTCAGTAGAACACAAACAGAGATTTTTAACTCCAGCCGTTGCAGTCTACCAGTCGTATAATGCATGGCAATGGTAACAAAATCTATGAGTAAAAAAAAACATGCACAGACAAATCCAAATTAAACCCTGCAGCTCGTAACAACACATTGATGTCCTAAGACATGAAACGATCGGTTTGTGCGAGAAACAGAACAGTATTTATATCATATTTTACCTCTAATACACCACTTACAGGTGCATCTCAATAAATTAGAATGTCGTGGAAAACCAACGTCACTGCACCCGTTTACCAAGAAATTTTGGAGCACTTCATGCTTCCTTCTGCTGATCAGCTTTTTGAAGATGCTGATTTCATTTTCCAGCAGGATTTGGCACCTGCTCACACTGCCAAAAGCACCAAAAGTTGGTTAAATGACCATGGTGTTGGTGTGCTTGACTGGCCAGCAAACTCACCAGACCTGAACCCCATAGAGAATCTATGGGGTATTGTCAAGAGGAAAATGAGAAACAAGAGACCAAAAAATGCAGATGAGCTGAAGGCCACTGTCAAAGAAACCTGGGCTTCCATACCACCTCAGTAGTGCCACAAACTGATCACCTCCATGCTACGCCGAATTGAGGCAGTAATTAAAGCAGAAGGAGACCCTACCAAGTTATTGAGTACATGTACAGTAAATGAACATATTTTCCAGAAGGCCAACAATTCACTAGAAATGTTTTTTTTATTGGTCTTATGGAGTATTCTAATTTGTTGAGATAGTGAGTTGGTGGGTTTTTGTTAAATGTGAGCCAAAATCATCACAATTAAAAGAACCAAAGACTTAAACTTCTTCAGTCTGTGTGCATTGAATTTATTTAATACACGAGTTTCACAATTTGAGCTGAATTACTGAAATAAATGAACTTTTCCACGACATTCTAATTTATTGAGATGCACCTGTATGTCCAACTGCTTTGAGCGCGAGCACGGCATCCGGTGCGTGAGGCGTGTACGCGCTCTGGTGTAATTTAAGTTAATGGGTGTGTTGATATCCAGCCGAAGAGCAATCAACCATAACTTCAGGCGAGCAGGCTCAGAAGTTGGGAATACGTGGAAAGTCACCACTCCTGAATGAGTTCGCGCGAGCGAAAGTAATCTTTTAGTTAAGTCTGTTTGAACAATCCGGATAAGCGCAAGTAAGTACCGTTTTGATTAGCCATCGTACCTACAATGACTGTGCACGGTGTAAACGATGAGTGACATATACGCGCGAGAGATCACTTCCGGCGCTTGCGTAAACTACGCCAGAGCGCGTACACACCTCACGCACTGGATGCCGTG